TTTCCGGCGTGCATTTTTAGCAATGTAGAATGCAATTAGAATGGTTAGTTGTGACATGGGGTTTTGCAGAAGTAATTTTTCACGCATCTCTAACCGTTTAAACATTTAGATGAAACGATTTAATTAATAGAAGAAAACTACTGATCACAATGTGCAATTTTGAGTATCTCTTGTTTCCATTCCAATTTCTCCATAACTGGACCTTTTTCGTTGAGATACTGATTTTCACTTATACATAATCTACTGTATGTTTGGCAGAACCTCAATCTTAAGAATAAGTTAAAAAAAAAAAGTAAAAAAATCAGCTTCCAGCCTCAGAAATGCTCTGTAACGCAGGTTGCCAAATTCTGGATTTTGCAGCAGCACCAGAATTTGTTACTGTGTTATTTCTTGACCTATGCCTCTCATGTTTCACCTGAAATTTTGTCAAAACTTAGTACATATAAATTAATTACAGAACAAAGCAAGCAAAAAAAAAAGAAGATATATTATGTGGATTCTAATAAGGGGTAGGGGATGATATCAAACCCTTTACTCGTTTTATAAAAAATATAAAAATATTGGTAATTTCGCAATGTAAAGACTCGGATAAGGGTGACTTTTGAAATTTTGAATCGAGTTTGTACATCAATGATAACAACAAGCTAAACGCGGTTCTTTGAAATACCTGCTTGATTTTCTCCATATCAGTTATCTTAATTGCTGTCCCAAAATCTGAACTCTCTCTCTCTTCTAATTCTGGCCGTTGCTTCTTCATTTTTGCATGCTTTTTAGCCCACAATCCTTTCATCGCCTCTGTAAACAAAACCCACAAATATACTTAATAATCCCGTTAAAAAAAAATCAATTTTGTTTTTTTTTAAAAAAAAAAACCAACCTTGGGTAGTGACCAGTCTATAAACATGTCCAAGAACAAGGTTGTCTGTTGACCTCAGAAGTTTTATACGAGTAATCCGAACCGGGATGTTCTTATTGTCTACTGAACTTCTGTTCTTGGTGGTGGTGGTGGTAGCGGTGGCGGCGGGGGAAGAGTATAAAGTGGTGGTGAGGAGAATAGCAACATAATGACCAGGGTTCATTTTCATGATTTCTTTAGCAGAAATTTGGCAATAGAGTTTGTCTACTCTTCCATTTGGGTGTTGAATTACTAAAGAAGCATTATCAATGGCTTGGCAATTTCCCATCTCTCTCTAGATTTTATCAGAAAAAATGAGTACAAGGAGGAAGGGAGTATTGGTCTTATACTCTTATAGCAGTTTTGCTTTATAGCCACACCTTCAGCCTTTATTCCAGGGGCATATGAGCATGACCTCAACCCACCCCTAGAAATTTCGAGTAATGCTATTCGTCCCCACTGGGGATGAAAACACAGTCTACATGGCGTCAATGTGGCATTAAATGATAGATGAAATTAAATAAGTCATTTAATTTCATCTTTTAATTAACCTATCATTTAAAACCACATAAACTGTATTTTCATCCCCACAGGGGATAAATAACATTACTCAGAAATTTCTCAAAAAGTTGGCTTAGTAATAATTAGAATAGACAGAACTCACTGTTAAGATCGACCCATAAATTATATTTAGGTGTTTTAGTATAGTAAAGTAACATATAGTTAAGAGTCGTTACATACGTTCATGACAGTTCATATTTTCAATCAAATGACTTTACATATTCGGTTTTCAACTAAAGTTACCCTCTTTAGGTCGCCCCATCTGCAACAAGAGTCATCTTTAGAAGGAGGATGCCCAATTGTTATAAAACACAAACTAAGCCTTACCTTAGCATTGTGGGACAAATTAAGTCCATGTTTGACAATCATTATTTTCAAACTCTTTAATCTGCATTTTCATTTTCAACCACACATTCACACAATAAAATATTCTGCACATAAACCAAAAAATTTGCCCTACATTTTAACCACGCATTATTTTAAAAATCACTATTTAAAACTCGATTTTTCCCAAATAATGATTGTCAAACGTGGGCTAAGTCATTACATTCCACTTGTTTCAAACATCCACGTCATTCCATTTTTTCACTAAGATGACTTCACAAAACTAGTTTTCTATTAAAGGTAACGCTCCTCAACTTGCCTTTCCACAACATGGGTCATCTCTAGAAGGGGAGATTACCCGATTGATTATAAATCCACAAACTTGACTAGAACTTAATTAGAGTCATACCTTCCACCTTTTCATAATTAACGTCCACGACAACCCATATTGTCAAGTAGAGGTGACATCGAGAATTTTCTATTGAAAGTAACCTTCATCACCTCGCCCTTATCCGCAACATGGATAATGCTTATAAGCAATAAGGGCATCTACTCTAATATCAATTGAAAAATCACATTTAGCCTTTGTTTGGTGTTGATTAAATTCAAATTTTCATTAGATTTTGATAAAAATTGATTAGTGGAAAAGTTGTACGTCTAGTGAAATATTTTGTTAAAATTAATTATTGACTTTGACTTAAAATCTCTAACAACTTTTAATCTACACCAAACAGAGGTTAAATAAAATCATCCTCAACATAGACTGTATGGAGAAAATGTCCAATTTATTATAAATATACAAACTATAGGGGTATGTTCTTTTTACCATTTTCAAGCCGTTTTCTAATTACGATTTTCCAAACTAATGAAAATGCTTTCTCTTTCCTATTTTCGAAAACACGTTTTTGAAAACAAGTTAAAAATTTATAATCAAACCAAAATTTTCTAAACGCGTTTTGGGCGTTTTCAAAATAATTTTTCAAAATGTCAAAAAAAACACATTTTCAACAATCTCAAAATGAACACTTAAAATACAAAACCCGAAATGAATTCAAAACTCAAAATACAAAACTGAAACACAAAGAGAATAACTCCTAAACTTTTACTTGATATTGTATCCAGTTTGGTCTATTTTTACTTAGCCCTTGTTTGGCCCCCATTATAATGAAATTTATGGAGATGATGTATTTTGGAATAGTAATTTTTGGAAGAATGTGTGGTTAAAAAAGAAGGAAAAGTTATTTATTTACATGTAATATTATTTTATTGGAGAATGTGTAGTTGAAAAAAAAGAAAAAAATTTATTAAAATTTTAATGAGGGCCTAACCCCGTTTGGCCCCCAGTAATTGGGATTATAATTTTTGGAACAATATATATATTTTTAGAATGGATGGTTAAAAATGAATAATTTTTTTATTTACGTGTAATATTATTTTATTAAAAAATATATAATTGAAAATAATAGAAAAAAATGTATTATAATTTTAAAGAGGGTCAAACGAGTGCGTAATACATACTCGAGTTTTGTTATTCGTCCACGGCAACCAGGGCGCATGTGGAGCCCCACTATACAGACGTCCAGCCAATAGAGAACGAATGTGAGGACGTCCAGCCAATAGGGGAGCCACATTCGCCCCTCTCCTTAGCAAAATTATATAGCTTCACTTCTTTTTCTAATATTATAATAATGTGACATCCATGATAGGGAATATTTATCTTTTACAGTGGTGGGTTGATAATTTTGAGAGCAGAAGGGGACAGAGAATGTCGGGCAGACCTGAAATTTACCTCGTAATCACAAAATAATTACTTTTTAAAAAACACAAGTAATAGCCCCGGTTGAGTGGAAATTAAAAGGTGATTAAAATTTAAGTAGGGATGTCAAAAAAAACCCGATAAACTCTATACTCGAGGGTCCCATTCCGAACGAGACGGGAATTACTTGTTTAATCAGGTATTCGGGTCTGGAACGGGTAACGGACGCCCTGTCCCAGCCCGCCTCCTTTTTTTTTTTTTTTTAAGAATTTGGCCTCCGTTTTACACCAATTTTCTTTTCATTCTCATTCTCATTTTTTTTCGTTTTCTTCATTTCAACCACACATTCTATCAATAAAATAATAATACACATAAACCAAAAAATTCTCATTACTTTTTAACCACACATTCTTCCATCAATCACTATTCCAGAATTTATTTTTTCTCCAAAATGGGTGTCAAACAGGGGCTAATACTTTAAATGGAAAATTTTACGAAATTTCATTAATTCTAATAGAAAATGGCAACTAAAATTATTTATCTAAGTCCAATGAATGGGGAGCAATAAAAATAAATTATCAAAAACTTAAAAAAAAAATTAAACAGGGTAGTAAATGGGGCAAGGACCTTGCCTCACCCTGCCCCACCTTAAACGGGTAATGGGGCAGGGAATTGCTTGGCAGTGCGGAGGACGGGGAGGTTACCCCAACCCCGACATGCCCCGTTGCCATCCCTAATGGCACGTTTGCGAGTTGAGCTTTTTCTACGGTCTTTTTATCTAAAACAATTTTGTCAAGCATTTGATATCAAATAGATGTTTCAACCGGGTGGTTATTGTAATAATCAAGTGTTTTTGGTCAATTACATACCGATCTTGAGCTATATACTCGACAAAGGTTTAACTTAGTACAACTTCCATTTCTCTTATCCTTTTAAAAGATGATCCAGTACTATTTTCTTCTATTCTCTTTTTTGTCAATTTTTTTAAATAATGAATCTTAACAAAATACTCAGTCTTGTTCATCACACACGCACGACGTAAGCACAATATTCATTTAGACTTTTTTTTTTAAAAAAAGAAGTTTTTGGACATCTTATTAAGTATTTATTTTCTTAATCTAGCATTAGTTTATTTTTAGAAATATAATTTTAAAAAGAATTACAAACTTATTTTCATGCACGCACACGCACAATTCAAGCACATGTGCAAGCGCCTGCCTTTTCACATTGGGTAAAATATTCCAACTAAAAACCATCATAGAAACAAACCAGCCAAAATGGAAAATTTTACGAAATTTCATTAATTCTAATAGAAAATGGAAACTAAAATTATCTTTAAAATATGACAAATAATAAAAGAATCAGTTTACCAAATATATTTAAATAATTTAAATTTTAAAAATAAGTAAAGATTAAAAAATATATTATTGTCTCAATCTAATGAATGATGGCAATAAAATGAATTATCAAAAAAATTTTAAAAAATTAAACGGGGTAACAAACGAGGCAAGGGTCTCGCCCCACCCCACCTTAAAGGGGTAACGGGACGGAGAATTGCCTGGAGGGGCGAGGGGCGGGAAAGGTTGCCTCGGTCTCTTTAAGTCAACATCTATCATCCCATTTTATGGGATACACAACTTTTCAATTATACATATCATTAATTTTTATTGAAATTTATTAAAATTCGATTTTTAATCCACATTAAACATGGGCATAATTTTCTTTGAAATTATAATAAACTATTGAGAAATACCAGTTTAGGGTATGTCAAATCAAGAACACGGGTTCAATTCTTATCGTTTGCCTATAACTAAATAATATCATCATCCTATTTTATTTTTATTTATTCTTTGTTTTGTAAAGACGAAGAAAGAAATTTGACCGAAATGAATTTCTAGACTTGCGAAAGTCTTTGGTTCAAGTCCAGGTTGAGCCAACTACACCAGAAAAAATGAAGAATAAAAATCATAAAAGCAATGCAAGAATTAGTCGGCTGATGTCTAGGATTGACTAGTTCACCAATAAATTCACCTTATTTTTTTGTTACTTTCACGACATCGTTTCGAACTTTAAATAAATTGAGTCCGATCATTTTGGTCATATACCGCGATTTACTTCCTCCCATCGCTGCGGGACCGGGGATGGGGTGTCTAGAACATAGTCTGGTGTAAGTTGGGAAACCTGGGTATCAAAAAAAAAAAAAACATTTAAATTCAAATTTTCTATCTCCTATGTGGGCCCAATAACGACTATATTTTTTATTCTCATTCTATAATAATTTGGCTCAAACAGAGCCTAAGTTTCTGTGTCACGAGTGTGTAATAAGGTGTGGATTCACATAACGTGTGAATGAAAAAATTATATTTGATCGGCTTAAATATAATTTTAACTTTACCAACTTGGTCGACTCCCGCTAAAGTTTTACTTTTATTTACTCGAGTAAATTTTCTACTATTGGTTCTATCTCGATTTGGACCTCTGATCACTGCTTTATTGAGGAATAATAATGTCACTCTTAGGTTACTCAAATGACGATCGTCGAATGTCGTAAAAGATTTAATATATCGTCACTATATTCCAATTAATTTTCAGATGGGATAGTTAAATATCGATTCTTCTACTTTTTTCGAGTCGAAGTCTGAACTGTC